CCCTCAGCTCTTCAGCTCAAGGCTAGCGCTCTACCACTTGAGCCTCAGCGCCACTTCCGGCTTTTTTCTTTTTGCTTATGTGGTGCTGAGGAATTGAACCCAGGGCCTCAGGCATGCAAGGCAAGTGCTCTACCACTGAGCCACCTTCCCAGCCGCCCCACCACCACCCACCCCCCACCCCCAGCCCCGAGAGGTTTTATGAGACCTTGGTGAGATGCTTTAGAGCTAATGCTCAGTCTGGAGCCTGATGTGAACAAAGTAAATGCCTCAGAAGAATAGATGTTGACAGTGGACAGTCCAGGACCCTGAAATTGACTGCTTTGTTCTTCCTCCAAACAGAACCACGTCCTCACCCTGATGTCCATGGCAGCCCACATCTACAAGCACCCCAGCATCAGGAACTCCATCAACCTCATGGTGGTCAAAGTACTGATTGTGGAAGATGAGAAACAGGGCCCAGAGGTGTCAGACAATGGTGGGCTTACATTGCGTAACTTCTGCAGCTGGCAGCGACACTTCAACAAACCCAGTGACCGCCACCCAGAGCACTTTGACACAGCCATCCTGCTCACCAGACAGGTGTGTGAGCGGGTTGCTAAAGCCAGAAAGAGGAGACAGAATAAGTAGCTCAAAGGGAAGGCCACGAGCCTGCCCAAACATGGGAACTGTCTCCCTGCTGGCCTCAGCTGGAATGAGGAGGAGGAGGTCATGTGGGAGGACAAGTGTGAAGTATTTGTAAGGGAAGGGGAAGAATCTCATAAGGGCTCTTTTCCAAAAGTTTGTGACCAGCTGTCTGCTGAAGTCATAATGAAAGGAAACGGCTTGAACCGTCCAGTGAAAGAACAGGGAGCTGGAAGTGGGAGATGGGTTCTGTCTCCAGTCACTGTTAAAGGGACAGACAACCAGGGGATTCCTGGAGTTTCTTCCACTGCAAGAGGATGTCCCACCTCTCTGGTGCAATTTAACCCGACAACTTCCTGAAGGCAAGGGCATAGAGTAATGCAGCCCAGGCCCTGTCCACCCTCTGAGTCTCACAGGCAACAACAGCCCCACAGGGAAGTATGATAAGATTTCTACTTTACAACTGAGGCACAGGAAGCCACACAGTGACAGAGCCCAGAGTCAATCCCACTATGGGTGGGGTTGTGCATTACAAAGTCCTGGTCAGGACACTGAGGTCAGATGAGGAGCATAAGCAGCCTGTAGGAAGTCAGAGGAAGATTTTTTTTTTGTCACTCCCAACTCCCAAATCTCTCCGGACAGGGGTGTGTGTGTGTGTGTGTGTGTGTGTTATTTTAACAAGAGTATATTTCATGGGTCAGTTTCAACATAACAAAGACACAGAATGAATGAACTATCTTGAAAATAACCAAGATAGAAAGCCCTAGCCTTGCAAAAACACTAGATGATGCATCCAGATGTGAACCCACTGCCGCTTCCAATGTCTTCTTAAAAGTTTTTGAAAGTTCAGTAACCTGGGGAGCAGGGAAGAGGGGCTGAGGGGAGGGGGAAACAGTGGCTCATATCTATCATCTTGGCTACTCAGGATGCTGAGATCTGAGAACGTTGGTTCAAAGCCAGCCTGAGCAGAAAAGTCGGCGAGGCTCTTATATTCAATTAACCAGCAAAAAGCCAGAAGTAGAAGGTGTGACTCAAGTGACAGAGTGCTAGCCTTGAGTTAAAAAGCTAAAGGAGAGTGCTCTGGCCCTGAGTTCAAGCCACAGTACTGGCACAAAAACAGAAAAGAGAAACTCAGTAAGCACAGTCCAGCAGTTGAAGTCTCACAGAAGATTCTGTGGCGTGTATGAGATGCCATCTCCTTCTCATCCTGATGTTGGTCCTCAAAATGGTGTTTTCTCTCTACCAACCAGAACTTCTGTGGGAAGGAGGGGCAGTGTGACACACTGGGTGTGGCGGACATCGGCACCATCTGTGACCCCAGCAAGAGCTGCTCTGTGATCAAGGACGAAGGGCTCCAGGCAGCCTACACACTGGCCCACGAGCTAGGTAAGATTTGCCATGCCAAAGCCTGTTTCATGACCTCAAAGGAAACTAGCTGCATCTTCCAGGTCCAAACTGGCCTAAGCCTAAAAAGAGGTAGTGGGGAGAAAGAGAGGTCACACTTAGCTATTATCTGCTCATAGGCTTGACTGAGCAGTTACATGCAAATACTGTACTTGGTATTGCTAACTGTACTTCCCTGAGCACACGAACAAAATACCAAAGTACTGCCCTGGCCAGTGGTATGGTACTGCAGAGTACTTCTGTAGCATGATGTTGTACAAGCCTAGCAGTAAGGATCTAGGAGAGATGGACTGTGAAGAGAGTACCATATTAGACAGTAAATAGTAGAGATGTGAGTTGATGTTCCTCTGTCTCCTGAGAAACCTTCCTGGAAGAGAAAAACCCAAGATGAAGCCAGAAACAAAAGCCTCAGTGAGTCAAGGTGTCTGTACCCCAGAGCTGGTGACTGGGCAGGCACTGCGTAGGCCATACCACTATTGGTCCTGTAAGTAGCATTAGGGCAGGACAGGTGGCCGGAGGGGGCAGAGGTCAACCAGGTCTCTTCTTCACAGGGCACGTTCTCAGCATGCCCCACGACGACTCTAAGCCCTGTGCAAGGCTCTTTGGGCCCATGAGTAAGCACCACATGATGGCACCGCTCTTCGTCCACCTGAATCAGACACTACCCTGGTCTCCCTGCAGTGCCATGTACCTCACAGAACTCCTGGATGATGGCCACGGTAGGCCCCGCTCTGTCCCTCCCTGCTTCTCCCCAGCCAGCTGCCCATGGGGCCTCCTCAGTGGCTACTGGCACCTGCTCTAATCAGGGGACTCCCTACAGCTGTGCTTTCTCACACAGCTTAGGGTGGGGAAAGACTTCAGAGACATGTCATTCTAGAAAGGCATTCCAAACATCCACCCCACAGTACCCGTCTGTGCCCCATCTGCTCTGGGCTCATTTAGATTTATTCATCACAAAGCAGGTGGAATTAGTCCGAGAAGGTTGTCTGGAAGAGGTGAGTTTGAACAGAGCTTAACAGAATGGAAGAATGTCGTGTTTGGGGAGAGAAGAGAATGTTCCAGGCTAGAGTGATGGGCCCATGGTAACTCAGAAATAGCAAAGAGGCACTGAGCAGGCCATGTGAGCAGGGTGGGGGCTGGGGATGCCTGGTTAAGGCAGTTGAGCTGCTGCACAGTGAAGTGATAGATTCTTCTTGTTGAAGGAACAGAGACATGAGCGATGAAAATACTTAGGCTTTATCTGCATGATTTTTAATTGTAAATTTACATCCTCCAAATTTATATTGTGATGAGATTGTGATGAGCTGGTGTTCTTTTGGTACACACTGAAGGTCACAGGGATTGTACCCTAGATGTTCTGTGCAGAAAAGTAAAGTCAGTTGAGAGGAAATGATTGCTATTATTAGTCAAAAATGAAATACTTATCTCAGATGCTGATCGGGTGCTTAGACTGAGATCAAGGGTTTAGACTGAGATCAAGGAAGTCATGATGTCTATATCTTAAATTATTTCTTAGCCAGGCACTGGTAATCATGTCTATAATCCTAGCTACTCAGGAGGCCGAGATTTGAGGATTACAGTTCAAAACCAGCCCAGGAAGGAAAGTCTGTGAGATTTCTATTTTTATTTTTTTTCCACCCCTACAGTGAGACTTTTAATTCTAATTATATAGCAAAAAGCCAACTGAAACTGGGGGTTAGTAAAGGGAGGAATGACATTGTCATGAAATGGTAACCCCTCTAATACAACATCTTAATAACAACAATAAAATTATATACTTTCTAAAAGCCAGAAGTAGACCTGTAGCTCAAATGGTAGAGCACCAGCTTTGAGCAAAAAAGCTAAGGGACGGTACCCAGGCTCTGAGCTTAAGCCCAACTACCAGCACACACACACGCACACACATCCTGTCCTATGGAACTGGAGCAAAACGTGGAAGGCTATAGAGAGCTATAGGAAGTTCCTGTTTCTTGTTTTTATTCCTCTGCTTCTCCATTCTTAGGGGACTGTCTCCTGGATGCTCCCACCTCAGTTCTGCCCCTTCCTACAGACCTACCGGGCAGCAAGGGTCTATATGCACTGGATCAACAGTGTAAGCAGATGTTTGGGCCTGGTTTCCGCCATTGCCCCAACACCCCTCCACAGGACATCTGCGCCCAACTCTGGTGCCACACAGAGAGTGATGAGCCCCTTTGCCACACGAAGAATGGCAGCCTGCCATGGGCTGATGGCACACCCTGCGGACCTGAGCACCTCTGCTTAGATGGCAGCTGTCTGCCCAAGGAGGAAGTAAAAAAGCCCAAGGTGAGGAAGGTGGAAGACAGAGAAGAGGAAGAGAGGGAAACAGAAAAAGGAAGAAGAGGGCTCAGTCCAGGTCTAAGTCATATTGTAACATGTGACTTCTAAGTTTATTTACGTGTGTGTGTGTGTGTGTGTGTGTGTGTGTGTGTGTGTGTGTGGGTACTGGTGTGTGTAAACTCAGGGCCTTGTGTTCTCCCTTAGCTTTTTGCTCATGACTGGCCCTTTGCCGCTTGAACCATACCTCTACTTGTGGCTTCTTTGCTGGAGCTAACTGGAGATAAGAATTGGAGGGATTTAACTGCCTAGACTGGCTTTGGACTGCAATCCTTAGATTTCAGCCTCCTGAGTAGCTAATATGAGTCACCTGTTCCTGGCTTACATTCATCTTTTAACAAACAAGCCAAACCACACAGTATAGTACAGCTATACTCAGACAATGGGATACTGCTATTGCTCCAAGTGCTTCTGTAACTCTTTTTTACTGGGGGGAGGGTCAGTTGTGGGGCTTGGACTCAGGGCCTGGGCGCTGTCCCTGAGAGTTTTGCTCAAGGCTAGCACTCTACCACTTTGAGCCACAGTTCCACTTCTGGTTTTTGAGTGGTTAATTGGAGATAAGAGTCTCATGGGGACTTTTCTGCCTAGGCTGGCTTTGAACCCCATCCTCAGATCTCAGCCTCCTGAGTAGCTAGGATTACAGACATGAGCCACTGGCACCTTGCTGCAACTCTCTTTTTGAACTTATTTGGAGCTGACTGAAGGCTTTCACAAACTAATAAGTCTGAAGACCAGAGAGTAAGCAATAAATAGGAACCTTTATGAATTCCTCTATTAATAGAGTAACATAGGATCAGAACATTTCACCAAGGATTGAGTGAGGAATATTCATAACCTACCTACATCTGCAATGAATTCCTAATTAGAGATCAGGGGATGAGAGTAATTGTAGGAATCCCAGACTACTCCAAGAGGAGGAAGAGGGAAGTCATCAGAGCTGCCTCTGTCCAGGCAGAAAAAACTTGGCCCAGTACAGAGGAAACTTGCACGAAAATCCAAGGTAATGCCAGCACGAGTTTTTAAGTGACTCACTCCTTTGCCTTGTTCTTAATATGTGCAAACTTCAAGGCTGATCACATTTCTCTTGTTGCAAGTCACAAAGCCACTGGAATGAAATAGCATCCACTGAGTTCCACAGCCTGTTCTCTGCCCAGCACTGAATCATGCTTCATAAAGCTGGTCTTGGTGGTGTGTCTTTTACATTGAGCCTCAGGAACGTCCTAAGTTGAACTGGCACAGGATTCGTAGATTCCTGCTCAGCCAATTCCAAATCTCATCATTCATTCTCTTCTCTCAATGCAGGAGCAAAAACAAAGGTCCATCCAGTCATTCACTTAGGAGTCACAAAACCAAGCTAGCTGAGATGAACATGGGTTGATCATGAGATAATGGTGTTTCATCTTTTGTGTGTGTGTGCTAGTACCGGGGCTTGAACTGAGGGCCTGAGCACTGTCCCTCAGCTTTTTCATTCAAGGCTATTAAGGCTAGCACTCTACCACTTGAGTCACTGCTCCATTCCCAGCTTTTTGGGGGTTAATTGAAAATGAAAGTCTCCTAAATGTGCTGCCTGGGCTGGCTCTGAACCATAACCTTTAGATCTCAGCCTTCTGAGTAGCTAGGATTACAGATGTGAGCCAATGGCACCTGGCTTCTTGGGTATATTTAAGGGGCAAAAAGGAAGGACATAATTTTTGTATACAGAATCATTGCTTGGTAAAAGGAGAAAGCTGTACCTCTTTATGATTATATTCTAGCAATGATTTTTAAATGATATTTGAAAATGATATTTGAAAAGCATTACTTTGTTTTTCTTAATACTCTTCCATAATTTTTATTTTTATATGAATGAATGTTGCTTTTATAATTTTTGAAGTTCATCTTGAACCCTTCTCAATAAAGCAAGCAAAGGAAAAGCTTTATTCTCTTAAGTCAATTGTAAATTTTAAAGAGTTTCTGTTTATGTCCCAGCACTATTCTAGCCATAAAACCAAGAGTTGGTAGCCACTGGGCAACACTTCTTGGTGATTTTTTTGTCAGTCATGGGGCTTGAAATCAGGCAGGGCCTGGGCACTGTCCTTGAGCTCTGTGCTCAAGACTCATGCTCTGCTACCTTGACCAACAGTGCCACTTCCAGTTTTCTGGTGATTAACTGGAGATAAAAGCCTCACAGAGTTTCTTGCCTGGGCTGACTATGAACCATGATCCTCAGATCTCAGCCTCCTGAGTAGCTAGAATTACAGGTGTGAGCACCAGCGTCCGGCACCTCTTGGTGATTTTTAGAACAAGGTTTCTAGACATTGGCACTAGTGACTTGGGGGTGTGGAGAACTAGAAAAAGACTTTATTGAGGGCCTGTGCACTCTTGAATATTTAACATCATTCATGATCTCTACATAGTAGATACGGGTAGTATAGACCCTCCCAAGCTAAGACAATCACAGTCTCACCAAACATTGCCAAATGTCCCGTGGAGGACAGAATATGCTCCCAATGGAGAATCACTGCATTCAACACAACCTTATTCTCATTAGAGACTCATTCATGGAGCAGATTGCCTATTGAGCATCTGACTAGGTCCAGGCACTACTTTAAATATCAGGCAGTCAGCAGTGAAGGAGCCCAACAGAGCCTCATTGCTCACAGAGCTACTGCCAAGCAGAATACATCATCATTATACATCTGATTAGGTGAACTCTGTGTCCCTCGATAAGAGTAACTAGAGAAGGAAGCCAGGCCCTCAGGCACCGGGTGACACAAACAACTGAAGCCCCCTCCCCTTCACTCCTGAGTGCCATTATGTGTTTCAGGCTGTGGTAGACGGAGGCTGGGGCCTGTGGGGACCCTGGGGAGAATGTTCTCGGACCTGTGGAGGAGGAGTCCAGTTTTCACACCGCGAATGCAACAACCCCGAGCCTCAGAATGGAGGAAGATACTGCCTGGGTCGGAGAGCCAAGTACCAGTCCTGCCACACCGAGGAATGTCCCTATGATGGTAATCACCACTTAAGGCCACACCTGCCAGAGCAGCTGTTATTTGTTTCAACAGATCCATAGAGGAGAAGGGTGGGTCTCCTGAGATGCCTCTGATCCAAACTTAAATGAGCACTGCAAGGACCCAGGGCAGCACTCACATATAAAGAGATTAGCCTAGTCCTTAGAGATGTGGAGTCACAGCATGTCACTTCCAACCAAACCTACTGGGAAGGGACCTCTGCAGATAGTAATCCCCTCAGAGGCATCTGAACCCTTGTCTGTGTGCAGAGGGGAAGTGTTTTCCAAAGCTACTGTCAGCGCCAAACCTCCAAGGTCTTTCTAGCCAACATTTGGCCCAGGGGGAAGGGAGAACTTCTGAGTCTGATTCCTAAGCACATTCCTTCCAAGAAGAGTTGCCCTTCTTCCCCTGGGCGCCGGCAACAGAAACTTCCAGGAAAGTGTCACTTTTATCTCACCTTGTCCTGTCCCCTAGGACAAGCTAGAAAGCAACACATTAATATAAAGATGATAAGGGCCGGTAGCAAACTTACAAAATAAAATCATTAGAAGGGTATTTTTTTGGTTTTGTTGTTGTTTTACCACCACTACCATTCCATCCAGCTCCCCTTCGGGCAGCTCAAGAAAAGATTGGCAGTATGAAATGACAAGCAAAGCTTTAGGAAAAATTCATCCAAGTGCCAAGATGGCCTGGCATTGGGTTGAGGTCTAATAGGGAAAACTGTAGCTCTGCAGTTTTGCATGACAGGAAGGATCAGCAATGGCATGAAGCTCTAGAAACTTTGCTTTGGAATTGTGAGTTTGCCAGTCATACAGGCTGAGACACTCCAGGGAAAGGAAGACAGATGATATAAAGGCACAAGGTAAGCATGGATGACAAGTGATTCCATGATTTCAGCTACATCAAGATCTGCCTTTTCCATCAAGTATTAATTAGGACCTCTGTGTATCTAGAATAGATGCTATAAAGGACATAAAACATGCACAAAGGATGGTCCCTGTCCTCAAGAATCTCGCAGTCTTTCAACCTTTCACACCGCAATTTGGGCTTAATCTATAAGGCACAGATCCTGGGCTAGCAAGTTGCTTAGAGAAGGGAAAACCCTAGACAAGACAGGGAATTGAATCAGGAGATGCCAAAGGCCTGAGGCAGTACAGGTATAAGCAGTGCTATCATTTGCTTAGGTAGAGTAAATCCCAGCATACTAGCACATGTACCCAGATGAGTCTAGAAATGTTGGGGTCAAAAGACACTGGGTCTTGGCTCTAGGTCCAAGAATTTCTCAAGCTATGGCTTTCCTGCTTTAGCAATGAGTTACCTCCATGCTATTTCTCACTCTTTTAGGAAAAAGCTTCAGGGAGCAGCAGTGTGAAAAATATAATGCCTACAACTACACTGACCTAGATGGAAATCCCTTGCAGTGGGTCCCTAAATATTCAGGGGTGTCTCCTCGAGACCGCTGCAAGTTGTTCTGCCGAGCCCGGGGGAGGAGTGAATTCAAAGTGTTTGAAGCCAAGGTAAGAATCCCCTGGCCACAGATCCGAAAGGAGAGGAAGGCAGCCTGTGGCCACCTTCCCTGTCGGTTGCTTCTGTCCTCCACAAACCCTCTCATACCTTTACTTCCCCAGGTGATCGATGGCACTCTGTGTGGCCCTGAGACCCTGTCCATCTGTATCAAAGGCCAGTGTGCCAAGGCTGGCTGTGACCATGTGGTGGACTCCCCTAGGAAGGTAGATAAATGTGGAGTGTGTGGGGGCAAAGGCACCTCATGCAGAAAGGTCTCCGGTTCATTCACCCCCACCAGGTAAGTCTCTCCAGTAATGATAAATAGACTGAAGAATTATAAAGGCTTTGGACTCTAGTTATCCCCAGCTTGAACTGTGGCTGCTACTTCATGATTCTGAAGATTGTGGAAGTTATATAAATGTTCTGAACCTCTGTTTGTCTATAGCAGCAATGTCCATCTCAGAGTCATTGTAAGGATTTCCTGGGTGGGATGTGTGGTACATTTTGCACAGGATCTGGCCATAGGAAAGATAGAACCTAGGGAACCAGCTTTTTTATTAGAGCTGGAGGCCAGCCTCATGGATGGAGATGTCTCAACTCTGAGTCAATCAGCAGAAGCACTACTCTGAACAATCAGGACCTTTGCCAGTAAACAGTTTGTCTAGGGCTATGAAAATATCCAAGGCCCATATGTCTAGCACCTAGTTGGATAAGACTAAAAGACCAGCATCTAAATGGCAGGTGAGATATATATATATATATATATATATGACCAGCATCTAAATGGCAGGTGAGATATATATATATATATCTCACCTGCCATTTAGATGCTGTTTTTTTATATATATATATATATATATATATATATATATATATATATATATATATATATATATATATATTTCACATCCTTTGAGCCTAAAGTTGAAAAGACTCCAAAGTTGCCTGTTAATAGGCCAGTAGTGTTCATTGAAATTACTGAGATGTTTTATATATATATATATATATATATTTGTGCATACATATGCATATAGATTAGATAAATATATATAATATATATTATACATATAGTATATAAAAGAAAGAAATGAATGAATGAGTGAATGAATGTAGGGTAGGGCAGAGCAAGCTTCCTTAAGTAGAATACTAGTAAGACAAACTGAGGAGTAGTGGGAGGAGGTTTGGATGCTCATGTAGCTACCAGGAAAACGTAGGTATATATTATACTAGATTCCAGGGTGACAAAAAAAAAAAAAACCTGACTTGCCCTTACTCTACAGGAAGCACAAGAAATGGCAGGAAATGAGCAATAGTCTCGTACTTTAAAAACTCTGGTTTCTCTTTCTGGTTACCATGAACTCTCAATGCCATCTTAAAGAGTCACTTAATCATTTTGTGCTTTTAGTTTCTTCATCTGTAACATAGGTATAACAATATTGGTTTTATTCACCTTTTATTTTACGAATTAAGTAGAGCATGGAAATGAAGCACTTTGGAAAATACTAGCAGCTCTATGAATGTAGGCACTTGGACATGAGAAGAAAGGTCCTTAGTCCTCAGATTCATGAGACTGCTGAGGCCACTCCTTTGTACTTCCTTCTCTGAATATCCACCTGCAGAAGGGTCAAGGTTCACTGGGCTTAGAGTGAGATGTCCCTCCCATAACAGGCCTGGAAGAGCTGTCTACTGGCAAAAAGGCCTTGTTTGAGAGAGCGCTCCTGCTCATTGACTCTGAGCTGATACAGTCCCATCCATATGGCCTCCAGCTCAAATAAAATAGCAGCTGCTCTTGGGTTCCATCCTTCCTATGACCAGACTAACAACTAGCCTTTGTTGATTATACAACAAGAATAACAAAGAACCCAACCAATTGTCTCCCTCTATCATCTTCACTATTTCTCCAGCCTGTGTAATACAGATTCCTACCAGAGATCGAAGAACTAAGCTTTTTCCATTCTATTCAAATCCCTATGCCTATAATGGACCTGAAACTTTTTTTCCCCAGGCTTGAGGCTTGAACTCAGAGCCTGGGCACTGTCCCTGAGCCTCCTTGTACTCAAGGCTAGTGCTCTACCACTTGAGCCACAGCATCACTTCCAGTTTTTGAGTGGTTAATTGGAGATAAGAGTCTCACAGGGACTTTTCTCTGCCCTGCTGACTTCAAACCATGATCCTCAGATCTCAGCCTCCAGAGTAACTAGAATTACAGGCATGAGTAACCAGCGCCCAGCTGACCTTAAACATCAGAAGCTCAGTGCTCCTGGTATCTGGGAACACTTGGAAGGTGGCTCCAAAAAGTCAAGATTTAATTCCTAGTCCTTCCCTGAGTCCATATTCAGACACAATACTGCTTGTCTCAAAAAGGCAGTGTGACACTTCAATCCTGGGTGGTTCTGGAATGAGTAAGGAGATCATATTTTCCATGTCGTTGGAGCTCTGGGTCTGGAGGGTGACAAGTCTAGTTTGAACCAGTGCATGGGAACTAACATATTTGATATCTCATTTGAGCCAAGAAGTGCTAAGTTTGGCTGCACCAATGCAGCTTTTTAACTCCCCTCTGAGCTCTTCTGGCTGTGCTCTTGTTAAAAGCCACCCAGACTTGTACAATAGAAATGCCAGATAAAGCAGAAACCCTTGGGAATCCCAATGTTCAAGACAGTTCTGTCTTTATCAGGAGCAGAGTGTCAATCTGTTCATTACTTGCTTGTTGCTTTTGTCTGCCCACCCCAGGCACCTGACCTGCCTACTTCTATCTCTCAGACAACTGTGGTACCTAGGCTAGATAACTACTACCCAGCTCTAACAGTGGCTCTCTGTCCCTATCATAGTTATGGATACAATGACATTGTCACCATCCCTGCTGGTGCCACAAACATTGATGTGAAACAACGAAGCCACCCAGGGGTCCGGAACGATGGCAGCTACCTGGCATTGAAGACGGCTGATGGGCAGTATCTGCTTAATGGCAATCTGGCTATCTCTGCCATAGAACAGGACATCTTGGTGAAAGGGACCATCCTAAAGTATAGTGGCTCCATTGCTACCCTCGAGAGGCTTCAGAGCTTCCGGGCACTGCCTGAACCTCTGACAGTGCAACTCCTGACTGTCCCTGGTGAGGTCTTCCCTCCCAAAGTCAGATATACCTTCTTTGTTCCCAATGACACGGACTTCGGCAAGCAGAACAACAAAGAGAGAGCAACCACCAACTTCATCCAGCCGCTGCTCCATGCACACTGGGTGCTGGGGGACTGGTCAGAGTGCTCCGTCACATGCGGAGCTGGCTGGCAGAGGCGGACTGTGGAATGCAGGGACTCCTCTGGGCAGGCCTCCACCACCTGTGACAAAGATTTGAAACCTGAGGATGCCAAACCCTGTGAAAGCCAGCCGTGTCCCCTGTGATCCCACAGGGGGGTAGTCTTGTGCTCATGAACTTCAGGTGCTGGGTTATAGACAAAGGTCTCCTCTGGAGTGGCCTCGTGGATCAAGGTGGCATGGTTTACCCAGGTGTCCCATTGAGCAGCCCTTGGGTACTGCCTGAGTTCATAAAGGGGAAGAGAAGATGGGATGGGGATAACAAATGCTAACGTTGACTGTCTAGCAGACTGGACCTTGCTCAGGTTCAAGTAGAGGGCATAGGTTAAAAGGTAAAAGTGCACTTATTGACTCAAAAGGGAGATGTCAGAGCCAGCCTATTTTCAAAGGACTAGTAAAGTTAAATGAAAAAAAAAGAAAAGAAAAAGGAAAGAAAAGTTCTTTTCTATTTGGTTTCCCTGATAAATAATCTACCTCACAAGGGGAAAAATATTTAGTTCATGAGAGATGTGGGGCCAGGAGTCAATAATAGATAGCAAAGCAAGCTGCTCCCGGAGCTGTCTTTGGAAATGATCATGACTGTCTTCAGTATTAAAATCCATTGTCTAACGGGCTACAATGTCTGTCACAGGGTTGTGGAAAGCCACGTGTTCTCAGGCTGCCACCTCCTGGGGTGGATTCATTTCAAGTATTTATGCAAATATGTCTCTGAACTAAAGTGTGATCTTGTGCCAATGAAGTGGTCTAGTCTGGTTCATTATTCCTTTTTTAATAAAAGGGGAGGGATGGTACCCAAAGCCCAAATATAAAAGCTAAAACTAAGTTAACTCACCTCAAACACACGTGGGCAGTTGTGAGGTCTCTAGACCTCCATAAGACAGCTACTGTTGGGGTTCTAGCAAGCCTACCAAATCGACCTCATGCAGAGAACTGATCATTTGAATTATCTAGACCAGTGTTTCTCAAACTTCAGTGTGCATCAGGAGCATCATCTAAAAGTGCTTAATCAAGCCCAGATTTCTGGGTCCAGTGGATAAGAGGGAAATCCAAGAATCTACATTTCTAACAAGTACCCAGAAACTGTGGAAGCTGCTGGTCTGGGGACCCACATGGAGAAGCCCTATGATAGAGGAAATTACAGTTCAGAGGTCAGAAGATTATGTAATGTCTCTGGATTCATTATTCTCGAGAAGGATTATCCCATTCTACTTGCAAGCTGTCTCATCATTGCGCTTACACACTGGCCTGCCTTATTTAAACCTAACATCTGGGGATCTTAGGATCCCAGATATTCTTGCCCTGTGTCTAGGTAACCCAACAGCTTCAGAGCCAGCCTATCACCTGCCACATCTCACAACTCTTTTGGTCCAAGAAACGTGTAATAGTCCCGGTAAGCCCTATTAGTACAGAATGGGATTTTCCATCAGATACCTAAAATCTCCCTGATAACCTCACCTCCTTTGTTCCCTATCTCTTCATCTCTCTGGTGGCTCCAAAGACCTCTCTGGTTCAGTCTCCACACAGGAAACTCAATCCTTGGTCATAAATGGGTGAGAACAAATGGAGAACAAGAAGACATGACATTATAGTCATAGGCGGAAAACACCTAAACCCTGCTTTTACCTCCTTCAAGTTTCTTTCAAAATGTGGCGATATCTCTACTGGACATCCATCCTAGCAGAGATAGGATGCTAGATGGAACGTTGAGGGGGACACAAGGTAAAGCCAATAGGATTCAGCTTCTGTTCTCCCACTTAGTTGGTCTCCACATGATGACAGTTGACATAGAGTTGTTAATGGCTTTTCCATATTTGCCTAGCCTCTGCAGTGAGTGGGAGGCCAGGCTTACCTAAACATAAGCAAGCACACGCAGGCATGTTGTTGACAAGTAAAACAAGCAGATTTCTCCTTGCTGTGCCCCAGTTTGTTGAGATTGATAGATGTTCCTTCCATTTCTCATCGTCCCCCAAATAATCAAGGCTAAGCCTTTCACCATTAACTATCCATGCCAAGCCAGCTGTGCCATCCCAACTGCCTGCATCATTACTAGCCCCAGCATTTGCCCTGGAGTTCAGTTGGCAGTAGAGCTACTGATGTGCAAAGCAGAAAGGAATCCAGCTTGGCCCTCCCTTGCTGTGTGGGCTCGGCAAGGCTCATAGAATACATACTTGTTTGTGTCTGGAAATTCAACAGCTGCAACTCTGGGACTCAGGAAACAGAGCTGCAAAGGGAGCCCACAACCACAACCACCCATTTCATCCAGTGAAGTAAAGGCTAGGTTTCCTCCGCTAAGAGATTGTGTTATTGCCCAGTATTCTTCCTGATGGAAACTAGTAGTAATTCCTTCTAATGGAAATCCCTTCACCCTCTCTATACAGGTAACTTGGTTATTAATCTGGATACTCAGAGCAGCTTCCAACATATTCAAAGTTGGTAATGAGCATCAAGGTTATCAAGGTTCGTGTCCAACTTTTTCATCCCTAAGTGAATTGTCTAGAGCCTGTTCCCTACCTTTTATTCCCCAATAGCTGACCAGAGGATTTGGTGGATTTGGGGAAGGAATTCCCTAAATAAGGGAAGTACATCAGTGCCTAGTAATCCTCACACATAGCTCTACCACTGGCTAGACTGTCAGCCACCTCCAAGACCCTGAGCACACACCACCCAGGGTGCCTGTGTCCTTGAGGAAGATGATCAGGAGTCTGCTCTCCTGTGGTGGCCTGTGGTGGGAGGTCAGTATGTCTTTATGAGGAAAGAGCACCTCTAGTAAAGCACATTTTCCCATCTGTGGTCCTCTGCCCAGCTTGCAACCTCACATGGAACATGAAAGAGAAAGAAGTCACCCATGGAGCTGACCTTTCTGTTGGCTTATTGTGGGCCATCAGTAAGATAAATACACCATATTTGTGTATTTATTACACAGATAAATGAATAAATAGAGCTCCGTGCTAGAGCATGTGCCTAGTGTGAGTGAAGTCCTGGGTTCCATCCATCCCTGGAACCTCAGCGGTGGGGGAGGGGGGGACGAGCAGAAAATAAGCTAAAAACTACAAGATAATGGATACAGACACCAAACATTGGAGGAATGAGTGCACTAAGTGGCTTAATTGGGATTCCAGGCCCTGCCAGGCACTTGTCTGCTTCCTAGACCAACACCTTAGAATGACCTAGAAGCCTTACCAAAATAGATGTTCCCCATTACAACGTGCCTCGTTATTTTTCTTCCAATGGGGAGATTCTCTGACACTTGAATTAGGAAGAATTATAAAACCCAGAAACACACAACAAAGCAGAATAACGAGGCTCCTCACAGCCACTGCTCACATGGTGGGAAGAGATGTTACCCCATGTATAAGTAGGGCCCAGGCTACAAAGCTAATGTGGAAAGGAAAACAGGCACCTGTCTCTCTTAGAACATACTTTCCCTCAGCCTTGGGCTCAGCAAGGAGGGACAGGAACATTCTAGCTAGTCTTCCATCCCCATGGGCTGCTCAGACTACCCATGGCAAATGCACAATTGCCCCAGGAAAGGAGAAAGCAAACACGCCTTCCTCAGACCTTACCGTTCCTCATTCCAAACATCTTGTAAGTCTCGGGAGTATATTGAACAAGTTTGTCCCCCGCCAAACACAACTTCCTGCTTCTAAGAAAGGGAAGGGCAAAAAAAAAAAAGTTGAAAGGATTTTTTGGACATTTGGAGATTCTGAGTTTCTGTAAACGCAAATGAATCAGACACATGTGGAATAAATTTCTCCGGAAGTAAGAAAAGATGCTGTGAGTTCCTCCTCTTGCTGGACCAGAAATTGGGAAAAGAGGAAGGCAGATACATCAGATGCTGAAAGGAGAGAGAGAAGCCATGTGAATATTGGATCAAAGAGAGGGTCCCAGTGATGACAAGGGTCAAAGGGGCCCCTCCCAAGACCACTTCCTGACTTGCTGATTACTCAGAACTTCTCCCCCTCGAAGTCATAAATTCAAAAATGCTGCTCCCTGACCACAACTTCCCATCTTTTCAGTAGGTCCTAATAAACATCCTTCCTCGTCCTCAAGGTCCCTGACATAAGTATTTTCCCCACCTGCCTTAACTTTTTCTTCGGCTTCTGTCCTTCCCCTAAGCATTTAGACTCCATGTCCCAACACCACACCTCCACCTAACCTTTGCTAATATTGTTAACACCCTTACCCATTGACTTACCATTCCAGCTCAATCTTTCTCCCAAATTACCCACTCTCCTTACCTACATGGTCCCCACAAGTGAGAGGCTGTTCATCATGGGGACTGGCAGTGGATCTGAGTACAACCAAATGTGAGATTCACATTCTCCCCTCTAGATTTCCTTTTATTACCTTTAAGTAGTTGGACAACGTATCAATTTATGAGTTAGATGCATCTTGATCAATGTCACCCCTTTCCTTTATATTTTCAAACGTCAGTGAACTTTCTAGATGCTGCTGGAACCCCAGAGCTCACCAAGGCCCGGCCTCATCTCTCACGGAAAATCCATTTCAGAGCACTCACCTCACCTACATACTAAAAGAGTATCTCCCTCTTCTCTGCCTTTTGTTGTATTTCCAAAAGCCAAATTATGTTTTCTTAAGTCTATAAATGTGCCAGATCTCATGAATCGGGGTAGGGTGAAAAAAAAAGCAAAGTGCCTGAGCCACAAGAAAATAAAAGTCATCATAGAACTCTGCCCATTTCTTGCTACCAGGCCTAACATCTTGCCTATCGATACATCCATCCATTCTAAATTTTACTATTTCCCCCTCTGTTTCTATTGTCAAAACTAGTCCCTTCTATATACCAGAGCTCCCACCTTCCCAAGGGCCTTAGTCCATCAAGCACCGCTTCCTCCCAGAGGATGTTACTCTCCCTCCCTCCCAACATCTCCCATTACAGTTAGCACTACCCCACCCCCTCAGCCCTGACCTTTTACAGCTACCTCTCCTCACTCTGCCCCACAGCCCTACAAAATATATGCTTTTTTACCCTCCAGTTATTCATATATGTTCCTACCTCCTCCCAGAATATTCCTTGTTCCCTTCCTCCTGTGCCCATTTCAATACACTTCTACTTAGTCTGTAAG